CCGGATCATCAAGAACTTCAAGGAGAGAGGTTCGACCGCAGTGAAGACGTCTTCAGGATGTCCCGGAGTGTGCAGCAAGCGCCAGGACCGTCTCCTCCTGAGGAATCAGCTATGGAATCGTGTCACCAGCAGTGCAGAGCTTGCTCAGGATGGCAGCAGGTTGGTGTGAGAGCATCTGCACGCACAGTGAGGCCAAGACTTTTGGACAACGGCCTGGTGTCAAGAAACAGCAAAGAAACCACTTCTCTCCAAGAAAAACGTCAAGGACAGACTGAAATTCTGCAGGAAGTACAAGGATTGGACAGCAGAAGACTGGTGCAAAGTTATTTTACTCCCCGGATCTCAATCCCATAGAGATCCTGTGGTCAGTCCTCGAAAGGCGAGTGGACGCCCACAAATTGTGATTGAACTAATAAGGCAAGAAGAATGGATCACCATCAGTCAGGATTTGGCCCAGAAGCTAATATCCAGCATGCCAGAGCGAATTGCAGAGGTTATGAAGAACAAGGATCAACAAAAATATTGACTCATTATATTTTTTGCCAATAAAAGCCTTTAAAACTTATGATATGCATTGTTTTTCAGTATACCATAGAAACATGTGGTAAAATAATCTACAAATACTGAAGCAGCAAACTTTGCAAAACAAAATTTATGTCACTGCCAAAACTTTTGGCCATGACTGTAATTTTTGGTAATCATTTGATTTCAGACAGATTAAAATAAATAATCAAACAAACACTGTCTGATGTATGGAAGCAGTTTAAACATTTTAGACTATAATTTGGTGTAGGTCTGTCACTATAAAACCCTTACTGGACACAAATTACAGCAACTTATGATATGCTTATCATTGTTTTTCAGTATACCATAGATACATGTGGAAAAATAATCTACAAATACTGAAGCAGCAAACTATGCAAAACACAAAATGTATGTCTGCCAAAACTTTTGGCCATGACTGTAGTTTAGTCATCTTAATTAGCCTATTCTACTTACATTTGTATGTGAAGTCCAAATCAAGCCCAACTAACCAAAGATCACATGATCACAAACGGAAACCACTTCCGTGAAGTGACCATCGCATGTTCCCTTTGCTAACGGACTTCTGGAAGGGCCCTTCGTGAAGGGATTCAGTTCATTTGGAACGTCCCTACAAATGGCGTCCCCTTCCCGAAGTGCCCTTCAAGGGCATTCTGGAACATATATTGTGTGTCAAAATCAAGACTTCACAACATTGTAAGCACACTCTTAAATCATGCACTTAATAAATAAAGTTTATTTTTTAACCAAACCCTGATTCTACATTTACTTATAAATCAACAGTTTATTGTCCTTCACTAATAAAATGTTACTATTTACACCAAGTTGCCACCAAAGTAATCCTTCATCTTAAAGATCACCACACAACAAAATAATTAGCTTGAACACAAATGTTTAGCTTAATTTCTCTACTTTTGTATATAAAAAAGCTCTTATAATTTGACACAAATTCTTGGATGTAGAGCTAAGAGTGCAAGTTAACAAAAAGCAAAAAGAAGAAAGAGTTTGTACTGCTGCTTATGAAGCCCATGCAGACAACCTCTTCATGTCATGATCGTCCTCCACTCTCTTCTTTGAGGCTGAAAGAGTGAAATAACAGACATTTAGATGAAGTGGAGACTGTGTAAAAGGCTTGGTTGGTCTTTTGCTGAATTTTAAAAGAATGTGTGGGTGTCTTTATACTTGCACGGTGGCTTGGTCTTGCACTGGGCAGTTTGGTGGTTGGTACACTTGGTAATCTGCCCATATTCTTCATACTTTCTTCTAGTTTTTCCTGTTCCAACTCTGCCAGCTCTGCCAACAATTCATCCTAAAAAAACATAAATGAGCACAGACAGATCACTCCATAAATCAAAGTAAACATGCCGCTATAAATAACCAGAAACATTTTTAAAAGCTGCAATATTAAATAAATGATGAACCAGAGCAAACACCCTTATAAACTTTAAATGTGGGGAAAATTAATTACTCTTTTTTTTAAATTTTTTTTATAACATCTACCTCATCAAACTGATCACCAAAAGGTTTTGAGATGGCATCACTGATCTCTTGAGCTACTTCCTGTTGTTCTGTAATGTCCTGCATGAGGGAGTCAATCTTATCCAGATCTCTGAAAGTGAGAGACAGAATGATTGATGAGATCTGATGACATTTGCACACAATGAGAAGCAGTAGGTTGACTTTTTAATCTACTGGTCAAAGTTATGCAATAATCATTTATAGGGTTTATCGTCTTTATAAAAAAAAAAAATCACAACAGAATTTTGTAGTATTGACCACTAAAATCAATTATTCCTGAGAGCTATGTAATAAGTGATGATAATTGGATTTTTATATAATTCAATGGCAGTGTAAAGAAAACCAGTGATGACATGCACATGTTCTGGTGAACCCCTTTGATGGCTTTAGCTGCGTAACCCATGTTCTTCAGAACCTCTGTGTTTGTGGTGGCATTCTCAAGGGCCTCTCGCTGGAATTCAATAGTGGACAGTGTCCCGTCAATCTGCGTCAGCTGCTGCTCGAAACGTTTTTTCCTCTTAAGAGCCTGAAGTGCAGCTAAAAAAAAATGTTAGGATCTAATAATGTTGCTTCTTATTGTCATTATCATCATCACACATTTCACAGCAGAATTAAACTACTAAAATTAAATGATTCAATTATATTTTTTTCTGAAATTTTACAAAATTATATTGTCTTTTGTAAATTCTGCAAGATCAAATGAAAAAGTAAATGAAAAATCAGATAGAAATCAAAGATGTGTAGTCCAAAAACAAAAAAAAACAAATCTGCCTTTTAAATGAATGCACCTTGGTGTAAACTACATGCTTGTGTAAATGCACAAAGGACAGCTGTAAAATGAGGAGTGTCCCGATGAACAGCATGTTTTTATGAGTGACAGGGCGTCACATAAACAAAAGCCATGTTTCACCCACTTGTTTCAGTGGGGTGTTACACTTTCCAGATGTAAACGATGACACGTTCAATAGCATATTATATAACAGACACCTTGCTTTTAATCATTTAAAGCTGATTTTTTTTTTAAATGCAAAAAAATATATATTTTTACCATTATTTTTTTCCCCCTATTGTTATACTATAATCTTTAAAACTGTAATATCTAAATGACTAGTGAAATAAAACATTTTGGTAAATATTTGTGAAAATTATTTTTATAAATCTTTGCACAAATAACACGAATGTCCCACGGTTCTGGTGTCATTTCCACCACAACAACTTTATCCCCGTTTGTATTTCATTATTTCAAAAGTTTGTTTACGAAGAACACACCAGTGTCAGTGAAGAGCATGATTGCGATTCCTCAACATAGGCAAATAATAATATTAATAATAATAATAAAATCAAAATAAGAAATTAACCTTATCAGGACAAACAAAACATTCCATCACTTTCATTACATTTCTGGGTACAAAGGATAAAAATTACATAATTCCCATCCGTTGTAAACAAAGACCTATTTAACATACCTATCTTGTTTTTGGTGCCATTCTTCTTGGCAATCATGATCTCCTGCTCGATTCTGCTCTCCAGGTATTCCTGTTTTTTGGTTAACATGGCCTCAGTCTCTCTCAGTCTGTTGATGGCCTCCTGGGGTTATGGACCAGACCGGGACCGATGCTTAGATCTAAAAACGGATCCAGAACTAGGCCTGGAGCTGGATGAGCTTGATGAGCTAACTTTAAACATCTTTGAAATTTTACTCATTTTGAAGGTATTGCTTTTAATTCCAGTTAAATATCCAACTGATTTAAAACATCTGGCAGATACAGGATCGCGAGAGAAAGTGGCAATTCTTGAAGTCAAGTTCAATTCAAAACACCGACAAAATCCAATCCTACTCTTCCTGAAATTCAACACTTGTGCGCACGTAAATTGCTCCAAGTGAAAAGGTGTATTCTACTTGAAGCGGCGCTACACAGACCGATCGGTGTATCACATCAAGTACCACGAGAGCGATTCACGAAGCTGTCTGCTCTCTATAGCTCTCGCGATACTTTGAAGTCATGCACCGATCGGTCAGCGCAGCGCCGCTTATGTCGAATACGCCTAACGTCTCTGAAGACACGCCCATTGAAATACAGAATGGAACAGTTGTGACATTGAATCTTGCAACAAAAAAAAAAGGTACACTCTTTTAAGATTTGCCATCCAAACCGTTGAAAATAGAGTTATTTCTAGTAGAAATTACAAATTACATTCTATTTCCAGGGTCTTTATTTATTCAAATAGCATTGTAAACATAAGTGTAACATCAGTGGGATGTGAGTCAGCAGCAGTCATCTGCTCACATACTCATTAGATTTCTATATAAAAAAGGAAATATCATTCGAATTTTAATCACTTTTTATTTTTAAATGCAGATTTTCTACCATTCGTATGTAGCAGCTGTTCTGGAGTGTTTTGGTAAGATGTTGTGCTGTTGACTTTGAAGACACTACATTTATAATATAAATAGTTAATCTCAAATCTGTATTAACACATCTAATTAAATTAAATGGTATGTAATAACAAAGACAAGAAAATGACTGGACAGAAAAAGTACTATGGTGGTCCTATCATATTTTTCTATCATTATGGTACCATGGCATTTTTGGAATGGCATATGAATATACTATGGTACAAGAATATCATTCACTACCATAGTATTTATCAAAGTCCTTTTAAGACATGTCACTCAGCGGCCATTTTAGAAACGCTGCTCGGGCATGCAAGTGCAACTACTATCTCTTTGAATGGGGAAACATCAAATTCTCCAAAACTGTTCACTAAGCTTATGATTAAATTTCATATTTGTAATCACCAAAGAAATCTGACAACAACTGTGTCATAAATGTTGTTACTTTTGCTCAAATAGCGTTATAAACAGCTTATTTTTCAGGCTAGATCAGCCAGTGTGCATGCGCAGTCCTAAGAGCATGTCTCAAAACGCTGACTGTTTCTATAGCAACCGGGACTTCTAACGGCAGCTGCAGTGATGCGCTGACTTTACAGATTAGCGATTGGCTCTTTCATTCAGAAGGCGGGGCTTCCTGCGATTGAGCGGCCATATTGAGCGTTGCCTTTTTCCACATTCAAAACTATACGAGTGACACGTCTTGGATATTCCATAGTCTTTGGTATTTATTGAATACCATGGTGTTACCATGCAGTGGTAATGCTACAGTATATGTGGAGACACTAGGCGCGTTTCCATTACCCTTCAAATTGCGCAAATTGAAATTGCGAATTGAAAATACGCCTAATGGAAACACGTAAATTTCACAAAAACCTGTATATATATATATATATATATAACATTTCTGTCCCCCTCACTTCTGAAATGATGGCTACGCCCCTGGCTACATGCAAAAATTATGATACTTTAATACAAATTATAACATTTGTATTCACAAATATGTCTCTATTCGAACAAAATGCTGAAACATGTCTGTATTTGTAAAAATCGCTGCACAATCATTTACTCCTGAATACCACAGACTCAAATTGAAAGGTATTTGTTTGTGATTAGTAAGATACATGTATAAAATTTATGCAGTACATGGATAATTGTGCGTGCATCTATTAATCATTTTGAGCCTAATATCATCCCATAGAAGCACATCATATTCATGTAGCTTTGAGTATTGCAAAGAGAAAGAGCTGCTGCCTGTCATCTGCCCACACTTTGAAAAACACTTCTGCCTCACATATAAATACTATTAGAAACATACTTTACATCTCTGACACTGCTGAAGTCTCACCTAATGGACAAAGAGACTATAGTGGGAAAACAATAGATAAAACCTCATTGAAATAATGTTTTGTGAATATAACCATTGCAACTGGTGTACTAAGTGTTGTGTCCTTATCTAAAATGCTGTGCTCATCTATACCTGACAGTTTTCCTCTGGTCTCAGACATCGGCATCAGGATGACCATAAGTGTGAGAAACTGGAGACACCAAAGCCTCGCATGGCTGCAACACAGGAGCTGGTGCAGAAGATAGTGGGTCAGTTTTTTTTAGCAGAATTTTAGCAGTACACTGTTTTATCTTGGATTTAAGTTATTTGCATTGCTGTCTCCTGCTGTTTGGTGTACATACTCTTCATATCCACATGAGGGCAGTAGAGTCTAATCTTGAAGAGTTTGTGTTGCCAAATAATTCTTAGAAAGCCAAAGAATAATCTCCACAATACTTCCAACAGAGTCAAAGAAGAATGCACCACCAAGTAAAGGCAGAAAAGGAGCAAAAAACGCTGCAACTGCTGCAAAAGTTGCTCTGATGAAGTTTAAAATGCATGCATCTGGAGATAAAGGCCTGCCACAGGTATCAGAGCCAAACTTATATTACAAAGTACCTTCCTTTGCATTCATTTATGATAAGTATTACATCAGAAATTCCTCCTCTGCAGACAGAACGGACATATTTCCAGGTGTTTCTGCCCAAAGAGGCTAAAGACCCTAGTTTGCCCATGTTCTTCTGCTCTAAGTGGAGTGTTGGCAAAGTAGTGGATTTTGCTGCATCTCAGGCCAGTCTGAAGAATAACAACAATGTGCTCACAGCTAAGGTCAGCCATACAGCACCACATTAAACTGTTCTATAGGACTGTGCCCCATTGCCCTCTGTACATTTTGCATGTCTCCTTTGTCTGACCATTTCAAGTTTTGGAGTCTCTACTAATGAGCTGATGAGTTGAATCAGGTGTGTTTGATTAAAGAGACATGCAAAAATGTGCAATGTTTGGTGGGCTCCGGGAACGTGGTTGGGAGCCACTGTATTAGGATTATGATTATGTGACAAATGTGTTCCTTTATTATTATTTGGTGAATACAATTCACATTAACATACCACTATGCTCTGCACAGAAACTGCGTTTGTGTCACCCTGAGACGGGTGAAGCATTTAAGATGGACGCTAGCCTCCAGTCACTACTCTCCCATACAGACTGTCCCCTGCACAACGGAGACAATGTCATTCTGGAGTATCTGGATAACAAGAGCTCTGGACTGGATGATGTCACAGACTATATATCTTCCTCCTGAATCCAAATCCCACAACCATTCAGAAGAGTTTTATAGTAAAATAGTTTGAGGAAAGTAGGAAACAAAGTGTCGGATTGGACTGTCTATTGTAAATATATTCCAATTTACTTATCTTTAATAAATGGGTCAAAGACATGTTGCTTATTCTTTTGTTCTATTTATTAATTTATTCAAACAAAGACAAAAAATGCAATTCATACATGAAATACCTTGAATACCCCTCTTCTGCAAATTAAAATTTATTTTGATATTTAAAACGGGCATAAGGTCAAAAATATCAGGGCGCTATGACATTTCATGTCACAAAAAAGAAAAATTTATTAAAAGTATGATGTTCTTGACTTCACTATTTTGACAATCTTACTATTATTTCAGATCAGATAGTTCGATGTTTTATGACATGGCAAGGTTAATGTCGTGGCGCAACTCTTCAAATAATGATATTTAATGTAATTTTAATTATGTAAATAATTTTTTGTTGTTGTTTTGAAAATGGTTATCATGTGTACAGTCATGTATTCAATGCGTAAGGAAAATACATTTTCTTTTTACTTCTAATCCTAAATTCTAGGAAAGAATTTGGCTTCCACATTTAAACCATGAGAGAAATGGTACATTGCTGTCAGGCAGAAATTATGTACTTATGTATTTTTCACTCACCATTTAAAGCCATTAAGCAGGATTTGACAGATTGATGTGTCCCCTAATTGCCTCAAATGTCTAAAGGCAGTCATAGACAGATGTTTTCCTTTGCAAATTTGCTTTGTGGAAAAAGTTTATTTCACATACTAAAATACTATATATACTGCATTCTGCAATATATGCATTCTGAAAGTTAATGTGTGAATTAAATATGAATTAAACATGACGATAAAGATTGGTTTTTAATCAAATCCTTTGACTGAGCAACAGAAACTTAGATCAGATAATCTGACATTTTCCATTTTTTAGATCATTTGATAACATCACAAATGTATCTTTCCAAGTTCTAGATTATTTTATTAGATACATTATTTTAAACTTTTGAACAAATTGTTTTAATAAAGAACTTGTTATTGTCTTTTGTTAGTCACTAAAAAAAGTGTCTGCAAAATTAATATTTATAAAGCAACACAGTAATGTTTTTCTACAGAGGCCCACATACTTGTGATAAAACTGTCAGTAATAGGCAGGCCTATTGACTTTTGATTTTATATTTTCTATTCAGGTCATCTACTTGACTCACAAGAAAGTTTAGAAATATTACCTTCTTTCGGACCTTTTCTTGCTCTTGATTGGCTGTTGCATAGTGACAAATACAAAATATAGTGACAAAGAAACAAATTAAAATATAAAATTCAAGGCTAACCCAGGTGAAAAAGAAATATATTTAAATTGTGCTTTTTCAGACATACTTACTATATTTAAATTATACTATACTAAGTGCATATTAAATGTATAACCTTTAGTGAGTCTGAGAATTATTATTAATAAAAGAAGACAATGAAGTCACAGGTGTCTTAATACTGATTACCTTATTTTTGTGCAATATCAAAAGCAAGGGCAGTAATGGCCACTAAATGAGCTGATGAAGGTTTCTGGCTTGTGGTGGCAAGACAGAAATAAAGAGTTGTCTTTAATACAACATTTAATGGGAAATGTCTGACTCGTGACAAAACCAGAATCTTCAGTATGATTTTTTCAGTATGACTTTTTGAGGTGGCAAACCTGTCCCTTGACTTTTCAGTCATGAAAAAAGTGGCATCTATTTTCATAACCTTATTTTAAGTAATGTGAAATAGTTTGACTCTATTGTTTTGTATATTAAAAAAAAAACGAAATAACAATAATAATAAACCCTTAAGACCCTCCATCTGGTACAACTATGACATATCAAGTTATTATTTAAATGATTTAGTTTTCCATGGTGAAACATTAGTGAAAGATCTAGCAATTCTGCAAGTCAAAATAAGTAATTAATTATATAAGTAATTATGATATAAGTAAAAAAAAAAAAAACTTTAGCTTTCTAATCTTTTTGTATTCTATATGTTTTCTTTTCATTTATTATACAATTAACAAAAGCAAAAAAGACCTCCAACACTAGCTTGCTCTATTCTTTTTCTATTCTATCTGTTTTCTTTTTATTTATTATATTATTTAAAAAAAAACCTTGCTACGTGTACTGCGTTAAGCTAACTGAGACTTGTTATAGCACTTGTATATCATTGCTCTTTTGTTGATTTTGATTGCTTCCATTGTCCTCATTTGTAAGTCGCTTTGGCGTCTGCTAAATGACTAAATGTAAATGTAAATGTAATAAGTGTCCAAAAGCCATAAGCCTGTATACAAAAGTATAAAGTACCTGTGTAAAGTTAACATAAAAAGTTAAGTAATTTAAAAAATATTTGTAATTATTATTATTTAGAATTGTAATTATATTTGATCATAAATATTTTTTATTATGTTTTTTTTCATATTTAAATATGTCATTGGTGTTACATTAAAGTTTGAGTGACATATATAATAATGAGTTGAATATAAAATTTATGTTTCTAAATAATGGTTAAGTTGTCAATTATGGCTTGTCATTTCGCTTTTATATGGGAATAATGAACTGAGCAAATTCAAAACTTACATTTTGTAAATCTAAAAGGTTTCATATGATTTTCTGGCACGAGTCAGAATAAATATAGCTGCCTTACTTGTCAAAGACTTCGTATAAGTTATAAAGTTATTAAAAAAAAAAAAGAGAGAGACTGGTTTGTGTTTAAAATGCACAGCTGAACTGCATAATGATGCTGTCTGTCGCAATAATTGTCTCTGAAAGCCATGCCTGCGCACACATACATACACACCCACACTGGTTAGACGCGAGTAATTGCTCATTGAACAGTTTGTGAGGATGGCTGCTAGTCTGCACTTAAGCACAGAGAAAACTACAGTTGATTAATGCTTCTATCAACCCACTCTCTGTGTAGGCTAAGAGTTAAACCCCAAACATCCCCAAAACAGCACAGGGTGAATGGGGAATGATTGAAGTTGCTGTCTCTTTAGGGTGAAACCTCTTAATAAATCTGTCAAACACGTAGAAAAAGTTTGTTCATTCGATTCATTTAGCTTAGTTAAGATTAGATTTAGATGATGTAATACACAGGGTTTGTTTGACATGTTTCATGACTAAAAATGAGAATTGTGTTAAGATAAATCCTTGACTGTTCTGGATTTTTAAAAATGTAACTTACAGTTGTAACATTAAAAACTAGATATATTCATACAAGCATGACATGACAAAACACTTTACAATAAGGTCTCATTTGTTAACATTAGTTAATGCATTTACTAGCAATGAGCAATGTATTTTCATAACATGAATTAACCTTTACTAATGTTAGTTAATAATGATACAGTACATTTCATCTCACCCTGAGAAAATTTCATAAAAACAGGGCCCAGTGTACTGAGTTAATATGAAAGAATATCTGTTTAGATTTTTTACAGGTGTTTCACTCATATCTTGAATTGCGCAGTGTACTGTGTTGGATTTTAGGGTTAAAGGAAATGTATGTAAATTAACCGATAATGTACTACACTGTAAAAAAATAAAATCAGTAGTTTTTACAAAAATAATTTTGGCAAAAAAAAAAACCCCACAAAAGTGACGTGACATGTGGCCAAGTATGGTGACCCATACTCGGAATTAGTGCTCTGCATTTAGCAACAAACTAAACACATTTACAGAACCAAACTGTAAATTTGACAGTATAAAACTTACATTTACAAACAAAAGAATTTGAATGTAAACCAGTAAATTCAACAAATGCACACTGCAACTAAATTCTGTTTTGTACCTTTAACATATACAGTACTGTCAACCACCATAATAATGCAGGTGGAAAAAGAGAAAGCCACATGAAGAATCAAAATTCAGCACAAGTTTTTCCACAAGCTGAGGTATATACTAGTATGGTGCACAGAGTCATTCACGCAAACACAAAACACCATCATGTAACACGCGACACTTAAATAATCCAATAAACATTCATTAAACAACAGAAGATGTTAAATAAAACCCTAATGTGCATAACCAATAAAAAACTATTAAGAAACATGATTATTTAAACAAAATACTTTAAAATGTTGAGTGTCACACAGGGAATTCTGGGAATATCAGTTTTCGGTTTTTGACTAAATTATACTAATATATTATTATGTAGAATATTATATTAATGATTTGTTATTTTTTTTACTTCTAAAAACTGTACAATGAACAGCATATTACTGTAATATTACATGAAATGTCTGGTTAGATCTTTTACAGTTGATCCCTTTATATAGTACGGGAACTTACTGTTAAAAAGTTTTTACAATATTTTACAGTTAAAATGACACTCATTTTTTTTACAGTGTAGCAGAAAATTAGCAGTAACTTTTCTGTTTTTCAACATTTTTTTCTCTTATATTGTTTGCCCATTCAGAGTGCATAAATTAATGTAACAGATACAACTTTTGATTTTAAAATGTATCAGATGATTTTAGATCTATCAGTGAATGTTGAAATTAACATGAACTAAGATTAATTGATGATGTGGAAGTATTGTTCATTGTTTGTTCATGTTAACTAAAATAGTAAACTAATGTTAAGAAATGAAACCTTGTTGTAAAGTGTTACCATGATTCCTTTAGGATCAGTTGTAGTTAACAGTGACAATTAAATATATACGATAGATAAATACTGTACATGCATAATGATGTTTCCAGTTTTGATAAAATGATCTAGTTATCAGTCCGTGTGGATGGGAAAACAGAAGAAATTGACCAAATTGGATGATCAATGGTAACGTATTTACTTTCGGGCTACTTTTTGTACCTCGAAAATTTGACAAAATTTGTTATGTCCTCAAAATACACAAAATGTAATATAACATTTAAAATAGAAAATTATATACACACTTTATTAATAATAATGAAAGTGGCTGGCAACTGTAACTATCAACAATGGTAACATGCAGCTTGCAATGTTGCAGCAAAATCTGTAACTACAATCAACTATGAATACCCCCCTAAACCCATTTCACATGATTTTTAGCATAATCAGATGAAATGGGCTCTGATTTGACCATAGCTGCAAAGCATGCT